TAGTTTCTGGAAATTTGTCAGCTACACATGATGTGATTATTTATTTTCATTACATCCCAAAGGTGCTCTACTGGATTGGGATATAGAGACTTTGGAGGCCATGTGAGTACAGTGAACTCATTAGGTGAACTCATTGAGTGTATAGTCCTATTGTGCTTTGTTTTTCATTCTTTATGCTTTAGTTTTTGACATTTGCTTCTGTGTCCTGTGTTTGTTCTCTCTTAATACCATGATAAAAACCCTTGGATAAACAGTCAGAACACAAAACTGAAATTTCAAAAACTGTAAAACAATGTCAGAATAGATAAAGAACAGAACAGAAAAAGCAAAAGAAACTCCTAAAAGTTTCCTAAACAAGTAAACCTGATTTCAACTGAATTGAACAGTTGCTTGGTAGGCTCAGTTGTTCTACAAGGAACAATTTATGAAAATTGTAGATCAGTATTAGCTTTTAGGGGCCTATGTAGGACAAAGACAGTTTATACACTTACCTGTATGTGTCTCGGTCAATGTACACCATTCCTTTACTACAATGAGAATGAAAAGAGAAGCAACATTTTTTATTCATGAATACTGCTGAATGGCGTTAGGCTGGTCTGGTTTGCTAGATGGGCAGGAAGGAGATGCACTTGTGCTATTAAAACACAGTTGGACAAATTCATACTTCTGCAGCACGTCTGACTGACTAAAAACAGGCTAATGAAATTTCACACTTTGCTGAAAAAATGGTTTCAGGGTTCTCATTATAATGTGTAATCACAGTTCTCTGTGTGTGTGTGTGTGTGTGTGAGTGCTACATTTATGCAAGTCTCACAGTGTGTAGGCGTGAAACTGCAGGATGGGTACTCCAACACTGCTGTCTTCCAACTCCACTCCCACTCTCCTCCTGTCCAGACATTTCAGCAGGGCACCCACTGCCCTCAGCTATCCCACAGATGTACACACACACACGAGAAAATGATCATCTCCTGCAGAACCATGACTGATGGATAGGATAATGTTGTATGTAGACAGCTGGCTCACCATCAGGGACGAGTCAAAGGAGATACAGGAGGAGAGGTAGGACAGTTTGTCTCTCTCAGAAATGCAGGCGGGGAGGAAAGGCAGATGGGCAGAGAGCAACCTTTGCTTACTGACCTCCAGACCTTCAACATTGATACAAAATGAAGCCGGAAAACTGTGCAATTTCATGCTAGATTTCTTCTAAAGGATTGAGGACGAGAGTATTACAAGAATGTGTTTACCAAAGTCGACATATGGATACGTGACCACCTCTGGTCTGTAATGTGGGTTTGAACCTGAGAAGCAACAGAGAGTAGTTTAGAAAAAAAAAAGTTGTCACTTTAGTGAACACAGTAAGGGCTACATAAAACATTACACTAATCAGCAGTTCAAAAATGTTGTCACTTGGAATTTTATGTCAACCATACTTTATTATTAGAACTGTGAAGTTAATGAAGTAAACTTACATTTTCTATTCTGAGAGCCATATTGCAGTTTTGTTTGATAAACTCACCACTAGGGTGAGCAGTGGGGTGACTAATTTGACTCAGGTCATTTAATCAAAAGGTTCACTTTAGACAGCTTTTGCTGTTAGATCTGAGTCAATCCAATCACTTGGTTTTGTTTATATTTTTGCAAGCGGAAAATAGATGAATACTTCTTGTTTATCAAGAATAAGAAGTAATGAAAATCTGGGTTGCTGAAGACATTTTTGGGTTTTGTTCTGTTTACCACGATGACCTGTTTTTGAGAAGCAATTTCGTCAGTGCGACTACATTAGCAGACTTCAAAGGGTCTGACTAATAGAGAGCAGGATAACATTTGTTGGGGATGGGGATCCAGTCTTCTGTGGAGTAAACCACAGAAGAATGTAAAATAGCTGTCTGGTTAGGTTGTGACTGTAAAAATATGTTATTAAAAATACCTTCCTCTGACAGAATATTCAAAAGATGACATAGAGGCTGTTTATCACAGATATGAATACAAGTGCGCTTTGAAAGTTTGGCTTGCCATTTGGGGTACTTTGGTTAGGGCTGGCACTTATATAGCACTTTTTAACTTTATTTGTGGCCCATAGCCCATTGCTACGGGCCATTCGATCCCTATACAACCATTGCAAGGGCTTGGTTCGCATTGCTGGCAATAAGTCGGACTCGTTCCCTGTGGGTGATGGGCTCCGCCAGGGCTGCCCTTTGTCACCAATTCTGTTCATAATTTTTATGGACAGGATTTCTCGGCGCAGCCAAGTGGCGGAGGGCTTTCACTTCGGTGGCCTCAG